GGCGAGGATGAATTAGTTGGTCTGTTGTTACTTCTGGCATGTCATTTTTCGAGCCGAACAAAACAGGAGATTTTCGGTTATCAGAGGACGTCTTGCTTTCAGACTTTATAAATTCCCTTAATATACCGGTCTTTTCTGCAAAGGAAGCTCGAGAGATTAATCTCACTAGCATAGGGCCAGCACCAGCAGCCACTGCAGCCATGCAGCGCGCGGTGCTGTTATTTATGTCAGGCACTTGATAAACTCCTCCCAACGGCAGAGAAGTGGTCGTTGCAGTCAATTCGCCTAACTGAGCAGAGGGGTGTAAGAGATTGTTGCTACTTCTGGCATTAGACAAGGGTTCGGTAAACTCAGTAAAAGTTCTCAGTACCTCTGGCTGGTTGATCAATTGGCTGGAGAAATCAGCTGGAGAGAGACAGTGAAGTGTGCGTGCACGACAGGTTTTCGAATTGCTATCGGAAGAGTCAGACTTATAAAAAGAAAGAGTGAGGTTTTGAGTATCACGGGTCAAAAATTTCAACACTTGTAAAATAAGATATAAATTTTATGACATGCATTAAATGGCCTAATCAAATATTCATGTTTGAGTATTACTAGGGAGACTTTCATTCCATATGAAAGTGCATGATAAAAAGATTACAAGGCTGATCTCACCAGAAAACGACGGCTAATTCCCGTTGTGCATCGGCCGTTTGGCTCTAATACGACGTTCAGATCGACACAGTCTAAGGGACATTTGCCCTCACTTTGAGTGAAAAAAGGATAAGCCTTCGTCCATCATATGAACATCATCAGAGCTGGAACTCATTCCTGTAAAAGTCTCAAGTTGACAATACGTCAAGAATACTGTCCGGTTCTATATTACATCTTGTATATACTCATAACTAAATGGAATACTGATGCTAAATTAGATAAATTAAAAAGATCCTAGTCTCAGGCTTAGGATAAGGTAATGCAAAAAAGTCATAATTTTCATGATAATGGCTTTTTGAATAAGCTTGCATTAATTAAAACCGATGTCATGGAGTCATATTTAATTTATAATGCGCCATTTTACATGACTGTTGTATAAATACTCGCAGGCCGAAATAATCATTGTGCTATGACGGATAAATGAGACATTTAACAATAAGTGATTTGAAACAGAGCATGCGGACTTGAGTATTATCTTAACAATGATTCCTGAAAGCAAAGACTAAACAAAAACAAAGAATACTTTGCTAAAGTAGCAAGTCTAATTATCAGCACCTGCTCGTTGATAAAAGTCTTTGATGAACACCAAAATAATAGGGCTGCAGTGTCTTCAAACTTATGCAAACCATCTAATGCAGTGGCGTCAGAGGAGTGCATACGGGAATATGGTTATTCTGAACCTCAAACCACTGGGATAGTCTAGCTTTAGGTAGTGATGAAGTCTAGGAAGAAACAGACGAGACGTCTAATCAGGTGATCGTAATCGGTACCAGTGTTCTGCAACAAGATACGGAAAATACTTAATGACAAACTGTCTAATATCTACTTCGATCGGCTATTCAATCAAAATACATATGCGAGAAGACTGAAATAATAAAAGGCTTTAGTAGCTGTTTAACCTTGAGTTCGCAACTTGGTCATATAGGCAAGAAGACCTGGAGGAATGCATTTGTTCAGGGTCTATAGTATGCATGATAATTCCCAAAGTCGAGCCGTGGACTTAGTACATTCCCAGACGCTTCGCCAACATCGTGGTTGATATCGCCATTCGCAGCACCAAAATATAATTCGTCAAAAAGGCAAATGAAGTCAATCCTTTGACCAGCTTTCTGCCGAAACGGTTGTGCTACCACTCCTCTTCCCGTCCTGACCCCACTATATATTTCCTACACTATTGTCTAGCCCTAGTCCTATCACAAATTATGACTTGTGTATATTCCACTCCTCAAAAGGTGTGTACCTTTGACGAATTTTCCGTGGCGTCATCAAACTTGCCGTTTGTCTTGCTCTCCTCCTTTTCAAGTGGCTGATTCGACTCGAACCTCCTATCCGGATCCGCCTCATGGGTACGTAGATTCGTCCCTTATCTTTCTGGTTAATCTATTTGACTCGGCTTCAACCCGTTTATATTTTACTCCAGGCGCTATTTCTCACTTCCTCAGTAGCACGTATCTTATGGCCTCACCTGCAGACCGCATAGGCTCTGATTCCCATGCTTGCGGATATTGGTCATTTGCTTCAATGGGCCATCTCCTTGATTAAAAACGTGTACCCTGAGTAAAGTGTAAATATCTATCTCTGGTTATCTACTACCTCTTGAGTGGATTTGTAATCAATTTGGATATGAGGTCGAACTTCTGTGACGATTGTGCTTATCCTTCATCTAAGTCACGTGAACGCAAGGCCCCGAAATTTGTAATTGCTCTTAGAGCAGACTACATTCACTGAAAAGGCCTTAATCTGATTTCCGAAACATCATCATTAAATTCTTCCATACAATCTTTTTTCCTCTAAAAACGATAGATCAATGATCGAGGGGTCTCTTTTTTGCATGTCCTGTCGTATCCGTGTTATTTCAGAATTTGTTTAGGTAAAAGGCAAAGATATTACTAACTCTAGGGATCCTTTAGGCAGACAAAGGAGGAGCGACAGTTGTAGTGGACAGATAATAAAATGCAGAGAAAATGGAATGTATACTGCAAGACAACCACATATCTTGTACCAAAGTAGGACCCAACTCTGAAGATAAATGGAACCTTATGTGACATGCTGAAAGATATATATGGGTATGGGGAGATTCATGGATGGACAAATTCATTAATAAAAAAGGATTCACGACTACCAGAGATTACAGGTCACCGAAGTTACAAAAAGAAGGAGAACCCCTAAGGCTAATAATCAACAATAATAATAATCAACAACTAGTAGGGGTAACACACAAATTAGTAAAAATCATGTCTGAAACTCAAGATAAATGACAGATTATCAAACACAGTGGATCATTCATATGAATTTTCTCAAAGTATAAAAAACATGACAGAGAAAGAAACAGGACTAATAGTAGGCCGACATATACAATCTATGTAAATAGACATTTCTGGAGAAAAGGAGCTAACAGCCTTGGTAGAGATTTTGGATTGAGAAAAGGATATCCTAGAAACAGATAGTATCAGAAGGGAGTCGTTAGCACGACGAATTAACTTGACAATAAGGACTACCTACTTCAAATTCAATGGCAGCATCTATGAAAAGATATTTTGACTTCCTATGGGATCTCTATTGGTAAATTAGAAGAAAAATTCAATACATCACCTTTGCAATCAAGAGTCCTTATGAGGTACCTGGGTGACTACCTCGCAATTTGGTCGTGTGGAAGAGAAAAAATTGAAGTCTATAAACCTGATGGATGAAAAAATCAAATTAAAAATGGAAGAAGAGGAAGGGCGGCGTTTACCATTCCTAGATGTTGAAGTCATTCGCCCCAATGGGATACTCAAGAGAAAATTGTTATGAAAGAAGTCATGTGTTGGAATTAGACTCAATTTCGAGTCTCGTC